GTGGTTGTGTACACACTGCCAACACACATTTCAGTTCAAACAATATGTAAAAGTGAATTTTGCATCGGATGACCCCTTTAAACTAATTATTCATTGTATCAACAATGTAGCGTATCAGAGTGAATCAGACAATTTAAGATTCAAACAGAACAGTGTTGAAACACAAAGAGCTGATTCCACAAAGACGCCAAAGACAACAGGATGATCATAAATCAGATCCCATCACCAGCCTGAAGTAAGCCTAACCAACCAACCAACTCTTTCACAGCTTTGAACAGCTTGCAGCATTAAAACAAAAGAACACTTACTGATAATTCAACTCAGGAAGGAGATTGTCAAATTTGGGGCAAGTAACCAAGATAAATGTTCAAAGAGACGCACAGCATGACCATCACATGTAAATCCATGATAGAAATCACGAGCTAAAGACTTCCTCGGATTGACTTCTTCCACCTAGACGACAAGAACCAGACTGAGATTCCTTCTAGACCCTTTTGACCTTTTGTTCCTCACAGAACACGTCCTCACATTCACAGAATGACACAGAGACTGTCTCTACACGACTAAATGCATCAGATCAAGCAAATGATGCTAAAAGGACTAATGAACAAATATCATTCCGCTGCATAACTCCATATGATGAATGTAACCAACACATTTGACTCTCATGTTCTAATCACTGATTGTGTATGTCATTTTTAATAACTATTGAACAGTTCATAGGTTTCTATTCATGTTTGGTATGTCTGTGTTTGAGAATTCAACATATCATATTCTTGTTATAGAAATCATGTCTAAATTATACTCTGCAAGAGTGGGGAAATTCAGACTATGTGACATGACATGCGTTGATTTGTGTATTGGGAGGTGAAACATAGCAAACCACCGAAGTAAGACGATGTCTATTTGGTCAAGACATAATTTGACCTGTGTCCAACAGGTGAGTTTAAAAACTCACAATGCCAACAAATTTTGTCTTTTCGGGCTTTTTTCCAGGTTTTTTTTTTTTTTTTGGCTTTGTGCCTTTTTGCCACTGCTTTTTGTGTTCTTCGAGCTCTCTTCCAGTGTGCTTTGGCCTGAACGCCCGCTGCTACTCAACCACCATGAGAAGATAAGTCATCTACTCTCATCAGCTTTTGTTTCTTTCTTCTACATCAGTTTCTTTTATTTTCACTCTCTCAAACTCATTCTTTCCTCACTTTATTTCATCAACTTGTGTGAATGTGTGAGTGCATGTGTTTATGTTAGATTAGTTTACATGTATTTTTGATTTATCCAATAAAGTTTTATGTATATTGAAAAGAGAAGTATCTTTTGTTTTGTGCTTACAAGTTAATGTC